ATAACTGCAGTCAGACATCAGAGCAGATGGTCTTCCTTTCAGCCAAGATTTTTAGAGGTAAAGTGAAAAAACATTAATTAAAAACTACATGGCTGTGCAATATACCATCAATTATTCAAGGTTTTTCAGAGAGTGTCAAATGACTAGTCTTTAAAAGGGAAAAATCTTAGAATTTACAGGCCAGTGGGAATCTTCTCTCAAGAGGAGAAAAAGAGAGGTCTGCCTGCTTAAGGAGAGAAGAGAAACTCTGTATACTTGAACTGCTTGGTTCAGTAAAATTAAGAGTAAGCATCTAGCTTTCCCAGAGCATTCCTTATATTTACAGCTTATACCAAGAAGGACACTCTGTAAGGATTTGTTCAATAATAGAAAATCAGAAAAAAAATGAAGCAAGGGTCTCTCACAAAAAAAAAAAAAATCTTGTGACAGTGAATTTCTGCATCTCACAAGAGTGAGCAAGGGTCACCAGCAAGTTACTTTGAGGGTCATTTAGGCAAGCAAACTAAAAATGCTTGTGTGCTAGTATGGTTAGGCACATCTAGAGGTGCAAGAGAGACTCGAGCTGCCCTCTACATTCAAGGGCATTCAAACAGACTAGACTTTGCTTGGAACAGGACGTTGCAACCTGACCTATAGAAAATGGGTCTTCAGCAGGGGAAAAAATCCCATATAGAAAATACGCCAGCAAGAGAAAGAAAAGATCTAAACTTGTAGGACCTGCCTTTGCAGAAAGCCTTACCAGATCTCCACATCCTTTCACTTAAAAAGGGCTAAGAAAAGCTGAACAAAATGCTCATTCTCCCCAAGAAACAAACTTACAGGCAGCTAAAAAAAGACAGTACAGGCAGACTTTGAAACTCCAGCTCTTTGTTCCCTGAACTACACTACTGATAGTACATACCTAAATATATAACCAATACATAGATAGTACAGTGCCTCATCAGGATTCTTTGAGAAAACTCCTTTGCCCCTAAATTTTAAATGAATCTGAATGAAACCTGTCTCCCCAGTAACCCCATTTCAGACAGCCCCAGCACTGCCAGCCCTGCTCCCCTATAGGGTGCTGGGAAAGGCCCGACGCTGGCACCCAGCCCTGCTTCCAGCCCAGCACCTAACATGCAGCCGGGGGCTGTCACCTCTGAGGGGTAACACTATCCATGCCAGGCTCGGAGGAAATGGAGCCATCTGCTCGCACAAGGTTTTAGTTAAAACAACACAACAGTTAACTGGACACACTGTATTGAGCAGTGCTGGCTTTTCATCTTTTTTCTAGGGTAGGCATTTTGCTAATGCTCTGATTTCCAAGATTCAGTATTCTTGCAGTATTCTTGCATATTTGCACTATTATCTGTAAGGTAAGGAACCTTAAAAATCAGTGAGGTTACAGTCCTTCTGTAGCCATTGGTTTTCCTTCCCACCACCTCCACCACCAGTGGTCATTTGTGAGCTGGCTGGTGAGTTTGGCCAAAAGGAGCTTCACCACCTCAGACATCAGAAATAGCAAAGAGACTGCAGCAAAGAGTGAGGTGGAGTTTGAGTTTCTGAATGATAGGCACCTTCTCCATCCCCAGCTCTTCCTAGAGATCCTGATTTCCACCTCTCAGGGCAATTTGCCACCAGCTCTACAACCAGGCATCCTCTCCTATGGTCAGGCAAATCTCCTGCACCTGGACACAATGACTCAGATGACTGCTTCCTATCTCAGAGACCTATGCTCTTGCCTAATAGTTAGCGTTTCCCTCTCCCTCAACATAGTTTTCCCCTCAAGCTAGCGTCCTCCACCTCTTCTTGCTCCAGCACTTCTATTTGATTCCATGAAAGTGCCATGCTAGCTCCAGGATGGCCCTATCACTCACTGGAAGTCACCTCAAGCTTAAACTTTCCCACTTGATTCTTCTCCTACCTCTAACCTCACTAGGACAGGCATCACCTGGTCTGCTTGCCCTTAAAGCTGACACCAGTACCAGTTAGTTGTGGGTGCCAGGGGAAAGTGAAGCTGGTGAGAAAATGAAAAAGCTGGGTATTCAGCTCAGGGAAGAGAATAGTCCCATGGGCATAACTGATTAAGACTATAAAAAGTATTTTCACAACAATTATCTGCCTCACTTTATTTCCTTAAATAAAGAGCAGATGGAGAATGAAACATATCAGATGTAAGCACTGAATGCTTCTTACAGCTTATAGTTTTCCCTTCATCCCTCCCAAGCTCATCTGCCATTACTCTCTCTGTCTTCCTTTCTGAGTCTCAGTCACTGTTTGACCCCTGCAGGTACAGGCTGCAGGAGCTTAAAAAACAAGGACTAGAACAGCCTCATCTTGTGATCTTCTCACTGCTTATTGCCTCATCAAACTCTCTGGGGTACTTCAGGAGGGCTGAAAACAGGTGCCCATTCTGAAACCCCAGCAGGAGAGTTTCTTGAAGACCAGTCAGTACAACTCAGCAATATTGGACCAGAAGGCTGTTAACTTAGGTGTAGCATTATATTAATTTAACGCAGTGCTGAGACTAAACATACTTTGCCTCTCAGCTAGCTCCAATTTCACACTGCCACACCAACAAGGTGTTATGGCTTTTGGATCACATCTGCCTCACTTTTGACTTGCTCAGAGCACAGATGGAGCACACGGAGAGGTATCTGTACCTGACTCTACTGGTGTGCCTCAGAGTATATTGATTCTGCTTTTAAGAGATGCATTTTTGAGTGTGGGATCTGCCAAAGGAACTCATATACTTTCAACCTCCTGCAAAATCTAGTTAAAATAAAATATTGAAAGGCATTATTACTGTTGATACCAGAAGATGAGGCATTTCATTGCTGCTGTAGGCTGAACTCACTTCACACACTGAGATCTCTTTGTGCCTCTCCAGTCTCCCCATGCCATCCTCCCACCCCTGCAACTTCAGAGATCACTTAAGAGTAAATCCATCCTCCCACCTCATGGATTCTCTGTGCTTCTACATTACTCCCATCTTTTTCTTCCTCAGTAAGCCAGGGTCTCTGTGTCTTCCTCATTTGTTCTTGTCTTTCCACAGCAGTTTTCATTTTTACACACTGATGATTGCCTGATACTTTACCCTTTAGGTTCACCTACTCACCTACAGTACATATGAAGTCATGATGGTGTTTTCCTGTGTACTCAAAACAAGGGCTTTTCTGTCAACTATTTAGCAGTGCTTAAGGGTACACACCCCAAAATTAAGTTTCAGGCATTTTCTACCTCCAGAAAGCCTCTGTAGCGTTGGAGTTGAAAATTGTCTTCAAGTGGTACTTATTGAAATACAGTCCAAGTCTCATCTGTCTTGGTATTATCCTTGATAGGTCTCTGACTCACCACAGCCATCAACTTATCTGGCTGCCAAAGCCAAGGCTAAAGCTATTTGCTATCTTATGGGATCTGAACAGATTTCTAACACTTCCCTCACACTGGCCTCAGCAGCAAACTCAGTGCTTCAGTCCAGACTTTCATGTCCCACATTCTCCTTGACAGCGTACAGCTTTCTTGTGTTATGTGCATTATGCTAAGGATCCTATGGCCTATACCTGGACCCTGCAAACACTCCTGTTCAGTGCAGAGGCATTGCTGGATGCAGAGAGTTTTTAAAATGTTCTGAACTGCAGGTAGGGTGAGATGTGGCTGTGACTCACATTGTTGCAGACTATCTCCTAGCCCCATTGAATCTGGACCTAACGTTTCCCACTGAGATAGCCATGGCTCATCTTGATTAGCAGTGCATTTATCAATAATAATAATTACTATTAATAATTATTTTATTGCTATTCCTCCTTCTTCTGCCCTTGTGTCATACTATGCACATACTCACTTTTCTACACAGTGCCTCTCTTCATAGTAAAACACCCACCATTTCCTCTAGTGGAAAGGGGCTCTATGTATCCAATTCTTCCTTCGCCGCCTTTCATTCAAAACGTTTGCTTTCCTGTATTTCATTCAAGATGTCAACATTTTAAACTACTTGGCAATAACAGGCAGAACAAAAAATGTAGTGATTTGCTGCATGGGGCTAACGGATCCTGTCAGCCAGTCCATCCACTTGTAAAAATCACATGCATTTGGACCTGCTGGATGTGCTAAATGATGTGCCAAGCTCAGTCTGCACTCCACTTCTACTTTATTCTATTGTTTGATTGTCAGCAAAATCAAAAGCCTACTGTCTTCTGTCCACTGGTCCACAATTGCTCTTTCATCAGACATTCATTTTGCCATTGTTAAGACTGCCTGGATCAAAATACAGAATTGCATGCTGAGACCTATAGCATTCCACAGCAAACTTTCTGTGCATTAAGTATGACCCTCAAATCCCCTTGACATTTAGTTGCTGAATAACACATTGAATGAAGTCTATGCAAAGCATAACAAAGGTCTTAGTTTTCTTCAGGCATAAAAATACCACATGGCACATCAGAGACTTCCTGTTGGAAGGAAATGGTAGGTGATAGCACTGGAGAGAACTATTTTACAGACCTTCTTCCCAGATATTCTTTTTATTCCCCTTCATATTCAGAGTTTGTTACCTTAGAGACAGAGTAATGGTATTCTTCAACCAGCTAGTACAAAATCACCATAATAATACCGTGCTACACCAAGTCCCCTAAATTTACACATCTCCCAGCTCTTCTTATTTGTAATTTATTAGGAGTACAGATCTGGATCTGTTTTTGGAGCAGTGTGCTGAAACTAACAACATTTAACTAAATTATTCTCATTTGCAATGAGCAGTCCAGAAGTGAATGAGCAGTCCAGCCTTAGTGAATCTCAGGATACCTTTTATATTTTCCTTTATTACAGCAACTCTTTACTTATCATTTAAGAGTGCGGAATTGAAGGCAATCACCAATTTGTCCAACTTTATGAATTTCAAAAATTCAAGGAGGTACATTTTAAAAACAGCTTAGAAAAAGCCAGTAAGAAATGGGAGGGCAAATGAACAAAAGACCCTGTAAGACAATCAAAACCAGATTTTTTTTCTTTCATTTCAGAAGCAAAAAAACAGTTACAGTCCTGTGATCCTTCATGTAGGACCTGTGACAAAGATGCTAACGTGTGCACTTCATGTCCAGAAGGTAGGAGACTTTCAGCTTCTTTGGGTAGTTTTTGCAAGTGGCTAAAATATTCTGTATCCTACACACTTCCAGCGAATATTTTGGTCAATGGTCAGTAGAAAGTTCTTTGGCAGCTTGAAGCATGAGAAGGTAATCAGATAATCAGAAGCTAAAGTCAGACACATACCAGCTGGGAATAAAGCACATGCCCTTAACAATAAGGGTAAAAAAAATTATGAAGTGGATGTTGTTGCTTTCCTTTCTATTCAATCAAAAGTTGTAGACGTGATGCAGGAATTACTGAGTATGGATTTATTCAGGAAGGACATACCAGATAATGATGATGATCCTTTCTAACCTTATATTTCAGCGGAGGCTGAGCAAACTATTTTGGGAAATGGCTTAAAGAATGTTTCAGTCATGTTTTTAAGCATCAAAATGTTAAGCTTTTGGGAAGTTTAAAGTTTTTTTTTTTTATAGCCATCCAATATAAGATTCTTTTAAGTACATTTCTCTTCGGTCCCTTTCTCCACTTGGGTTGCTGTTTTGCCAGGAAAATTTCTTAGCCATGATACCTGTGTCTCCCAATGCCCTCAACAAACTTTTGGCAACGTGGAAAGTGCGAGATGTGCTTGGATGATTGTGAGGTGTGCTCCGACCCCTGGCACTGTCAGAAGTGTCAGAAAACCCAGGCATTCGTCCTCCATGAAGGCAGATGCTTTCATGAATGCCCTAAGTAATTTTTTAAACTTATTCCTATTTGATGACTGCTCTTTAATTTCTGTCTATGCTCCTTCTTTTTATAGCTCAGATTCATTACCAACCTTTCAAGGGAGAACTTAAGGTAACCTTAGACACCAGAAACTACCACATGGTAAAAGCCATTTTCAGCTGGCTTAAGGTAACATTTGCTCTTGACTGAGATCACAAGTGAGACTAATCATGACTATAGTAAAGACTATGACTGATGGTAAAGCTCCCATTGACTTCAGTAGGGCCACAGTACTGTCCTCAAGATGGTTCTTCATGCCTACTGAAAATAACCCCCTAGTCCTTCTTCTAACTAGCTCCTTTGCTGTCCCCAAATGTAGGTACTTCTCATGCATCCTGTTGGTTTTTTTTGTTTTTTATCCCAGTCATCCTTATTCTTCTCAGCCTTCACACTTCCAAGGATTTCTCTTCTCTTTCTTCCCTCTAGGGCCACTGAGGTCATATTACTCTTTCTATCCCTGATATCATTGCTGAGGGTCAGCTGAGCAAGACTGCAGACTGTGTGCATCTTCCTTTTCCCAAACATTATATATCTTCATATCGTGGATAAGGGTGAAACCAGGGAAAAAGTAAGAGAGGAAGTTCAACAACCCCTAGAGTAGGTACAAGAATAAGGGAAGGATAGACTCCCTTCATGGTGTTAACCATGCAGAGTTTCTGCTTGCAGGCAACGGTACTAGTGCCATGAGGGAATGTAATGGAGTGGAGGATAGACAACAAATTGTTTAAGAAATATTTTCATTTCAGTGAAATGTATCTGCTGGGAAACTCTGATACATACAAACATGATTCTTCCAACCCGTGTCACTGGACTGTTCTATAAACATACTCTGACCAGCAGTTTGCTTTGTGCTTGTTTTAATTCAATAGGGGATATTTTAACGATTCTGGGACTTGCAAGGAATGCAGTGGATCCTGTAAGACATGCATGAGAAGTGCCACCAAATGCCAGGCCTGTGAAAGTTCTTTGCTTCTGGAGCAGTGGGAATGTAAACATACCTGTTTGGAGAAGTATTTTGCTTCTGAAGGAATCTGCAAACACTGCCCTCCAATGTGCCAGGAGTGCATTCACAATCAAACGTGCAGAGGTATTACAAGGAATTTGTCATTACTTGGTTAAAATGAGATAGATCTAAGAAAAAAGACTGTCAGAAACACAGATCTGAAAATAAATTCTGTAATGAGGAAAAGTGAAAAAATTGATGTATATATCATTGCTAAACTGCTAAGATAAAGGCTAAGCAATATGTGCTTTATCACGAGACTCAGTCTAAAAAGTGTATCTGTAAAGGTGTTTCACATTGCTTTTTCTGTTCTTTTTTTGTTTCAGGAGATTCCTATTGGTTTGATTCTATTTCTGATTTAGCAAATGACAGGTCTTTCCATGCCCAAATACTTGAACTTTTACACCGGTGTGCAATGCAAAATGTTTCTTTCCTAGTTTGGTTTAAGTTTACATCCCTTTGACATTTTTGCAAATGGCTACTCAAGGTAGAGGATGAAACCTCTGTAATGAAACATATCCAGTAATGCTCAGAAATCCTCATAAGTCCGAATGCACACCCAAAAATTTAAGGGATAGTTAATACTGAGCAAGCCATTCTGGAAACGAAACATAAACATGGATGAAAAAGAAAAAGATCATAAACAAAGCTATTAAACTAGGCAGTTATAATAAAATTAACAGATGAACCCCTATCCCAAATCCTAACACCATCCCAGCTCCCTGCAAAGTCAAACATCCAGGTGCAAATATTCCAGCCAGACTCATATTTTAATAATAAACCAAACAAAACTTCAGATCCGGACATCCCTAATTTTGCAGGAAGTTCATAATCCAGATATAGCATCTCATCAGAAGCCCTTCTCTATTTATTGGCAGTGTGGTTTGGTTAATATCAGCAAAGCTGAGCAGCTGACTTAGTTTCTCAGTCCCTCAATGTAGAGCAGAAGATGCTGCATGAGGTTTGAGCTGTTATGGGCAGATTGGATTTTTTTTTTCAAAGGAAAAGGCATTCCCAAGTTGTCTGCTTATCTCCTATTATAACAGGCACTATGGCGTTTATGGTTTCCCAGGATTTCTTCACTCTCTCACTTATCAAAGTCAAAATTAGCTGCCCTGTGGCTTACCCATTGTTTTGGTTCTCCACAGTGTGCACGGATGAGTTCTTCCTGCATGATGGGAGGTGTGTGGAGGATTGCCCCTCACTTCTACGCCGAAGACAAGCAGTGCTTCCCCTGCCACAGAGATTGCAAGAATTGCAATGGGCCCAACTCAGATGACTGTAACAAGTGTGCCATCAGCTTCTTTGTCCTGTACAACAGCAAGTGTTTTGAAGAATGCCCCGAAGGGACTTACTATGAAGAAGCGACTGAAGATTGCCAAGGTTGGCAGCCATTGTTTTTTCCAGAAGAGTATTGAGATACAAGTAGAATCAGTTGGATACTATTCTTAAAGGGTTTATGGGTGCTGGCTAATGTAGCTATGTGTCCTGAAAACAGGCATGATGAGACATAGTTTAGAACAGCAAAAATTAGAGAAAGCTGAGAGGGAGCTAGCAAAGCTAGAGGTGTTCAAAATTACACGCAGCCACTCCAGTAAAGAGATGAGTATTGCTGGAGACGTTGAAAACCGCTGCTTAGCAAAAGCAGGGCCAGTGCAAAAGGCAATTGAAGGAGTAGGCTGCATAAGACTGAAAATATTAATGTTTGATTATGCAAAAGCAGAGTTCTGCTCATTTCACTCAACCTCTCATCTTGAGGTGATAGCAGCTCCTTGCAAAATTAAAGATGAAATAATAATTTGAAATGAAAAAAGATAGGACATGCCAGACTTCTTGTTCTTCCACTGCCTGCCTTACTTGCAGAAATGGCCTGATACCGAACCACAATGGGCAGCGTTTGGCATCCGGATACTGCTCTCACACTGAGTACCATGATGAGCAAACTCAAACCCGCAAGCCTTGTCATAAGAAATGCTTTCACTGCTCAGGACCCACTGAACACCAGTGTCTTAGCTGTGCGAATAATCAACATCATCTCAGTGAGTATCTTGATCTTGCATCTAGATTTTATTTTACATTGAAGAATACGAGATAGGCAAGTTTCTGTCCTATTCATGAAACATCTAGAACCACTTCAGACAATCTAAATATTACAAAGCTGACCTAACAAGTAAGTGGGTGCAGAGATAATTACTTCTTCAAGGCTACCTGGGATATTTTTTGAGGGAGTGGACAAAACTGTCATTCTAGGCCTTCCACACTTTGAGGCCAAAAGCAGTCCTTCTAAGTAGCAATAAAGTCCATGGCTAAACAAAACTTATATTTGTTTCATTTACTTCCTATTTACTGACACTCTTGTTTCCTACAAGTAACTTGAAAAAGACAAAAGGGATGTCCTTAGCTCATGTTCTGTAAGTACACAGAGTTCACATTTACGTGTTGGCTCATTTAATCTCTGCAGAGATTTGATAAACAAAGACATACTTAAGCAGAGAAGTTAAAAAATTGTTTCTGGATCATTAGTTCAGTTGTTAGTGGATGGCTGAGATGCAAAACTACTTTTTTCTTCTGTCTTTGGAGCAAAAGACTATTGTCTCAGAAATAAGTTGGTAAAAAGTATAAAATCTCAGGACTTAAACTTTACTTGTTTGCATTTTAAAAAGCAAACAAAAATTTAAAATTTCATTTAGAGAAAAACTGATTAAAATAATCTGTAATTCAGGAAAAATCTGAAGTAAATTTGAATTCAAACACTGAATCTGAGCTGTCTACATCTAATTCTGATGCAGATTTTGAATTCTTACATTTTTGAGGACTCAACTCAGACCTGGCATTATTACTAGCACATCCAGCTTACCATTACCATTGGTAAAGTAGAAGGAAGTATGTAAACAAACAACCTGAAGTGGAGAAAAAAAAAGGAAAAAAAAAAGAAATAAGTAAAAGTATCTTCCTTTGCCCATTTGTAATCTGAGCAGCAAAACAATAAGGACAAGCCAGATAATGAGTGCAAGCTATTAATGAATAATCACTGTTCTCTTAGCTTCATGCACTTGCAGTTAGTTGATTCAGTCCTAGCTTTTCATTCAAATTTCTATTCTGCTAATGACCCTCTGAAATCTCAGGTGAACAATGTGATGTACCTGGTGCATTTAGCAGCATTAGAGATGTATATTCCCATAACACAAAGCAGCAGCCACACACAAGGACAAAGATCAATGAACAAACATCATTAAATCTCAAACTACTTACCATTGGATTTGCCAAATACACAGAATGCAATGAGCCTGAAAGAACGCACTTAGAATCAGAGCGAAACCTAGGGAAAATGATAATGCAGATAGAGAGATAAAGTTTCCTGATTATTATTTCTTTCTTTGCATAATCTGAAAGAAATCACAGCTGCTGTTCATTATTATTATGCACTGCATTTATATTTTCTAAAGATTAAAAGTGATTTATTCTGAAGAACCTGCTAACGTACGTAAGACTCAGAAGTGAAGACTAATGAAGTGACAAGACTTGGAAGAAACAAAAAATAATTAGGATGTCCCGACGTTCCCTTTATTGGCTTTTTTACAAACTCTAACAGCATCTCCTGTTAGCTTGCACTAGCAGAGCTGTATGAGATTTTTATAGCAGCAAATACTGAATATGATCTGTTATTCTTCATTGTTCTCTGTGCAGATACAACCTGTGTTGAAACATGCCCATACGGATATTACGTTGACAGCGACGAGGGACAATGTTCCCCATGCCACAGCATCTGTGACGCTCGCTTTGGGAAACACAGCTCTCAGTGCCTCTCCTGCAAACCAGGCTGGTACAGGGAAGGAAAAGGATGTGTAAACCAGTGTCCAGCTGGGTAAGGTCCAAGTTCTTTAACTAAGAGCTACATCACAGAGAGAGCTTTGAGAAATCAGATCATTCTGTCCTCAGTCCTATCTTAGGATGAAAATTTCTCATGTCATCCTAGTACACAGAGGTGGTGTAAAAACTCCCTTTCCAGTGCAGAACTGGAGAGATGGAGTTAGTGCCCAAGCTGGAATCAACTTGATGTGATGGGGCCATTCTTAAAAGCTCCAAGGATGCTTTAAGATTATGCTTATACAGAACAGCGTGAAACAGAGTAAATATACTAAGTTATCCCTTAATTAGTCAGCTTGAGCACAGGAAGCAGCGTAACTTGCTTCAAGCACCATTGCAGGCTCTGCCTAGCCTGAAGTTTGAATGCAGTTACTTTTGCTTCACATCGAGTGAATATTTATAATGGATCATAATAAAATCAACCATTAAAACATTACTTAACTGATGACTCATAATTTTAGGCAGCAACTTCATTAATGAGAGTCCATTTAATTTCAAAATGTGAGTTCAGTTTCATCTTGTGAATGTCTCAAATTCAAATCTGGGAAGTGGACTTATGATTTCTAGTTCAGGTCCATTGCATTTTGCAACACAGTACAATCGTACTGGCTGTTAGACTCAGTTATCAACCTATTAAATTGAAAGTCTGCAACAACTATACCTCAATACAACCACTCTGCAGCTATTCCTCTTTTTCCTCTGACTGCACAATTTAGATGAACAAACTGTTTCTCTCTTGGTGTCCTTTGGCTAGGCCTGTTTGCGGGCTGTAAGGAAATACGGAATTACTGAATTCCCATCTGACAGATGGGCATCAGAAGTAGTGAGGAATTAAATGCTTACCCAACATCTCACAGGATGTTTGTGGCAGAGCCAAAAACAGAGTTTAGGTTTTCTGAGTCCTGGCTATTTATTTACTTACTTTGTACCTGAATTCACCCTCTATTTTAGAAAGTTTTGCTTTATAGCTGAATTCCAACAGGCAAGTGCAATCTAAGCAAATTTGTTCTACTTCCATTGAGATGCAAAAAGTATATTCATGTAACCACAGTAAAAGCTCGGGAGGAAGAATGTTTTGGCCTTTCCTGTCGTTATTAGGCAGTTGCAAAGCCAACACTATCTGATCTGTTTCAGATACTTTGCACAAAACTCCACTGGATCATGTGAGAGATGCCACAAGAGCTGCAAGGGGTGTATGGGACCCCAACCTACAGACTGCCTTTTCTGTGATATGTATTTTTACCTGTTGCACTTCAAGAATGAATGCGTTAGCTCTTGCCCTGAATATTACTACGAAAACAAAGACAACAACATGTGCAAAATGACCAAGGTTAAACAAGAATATCAATTCCTACTGAGCTGCCTCCAATCACAGAGTGCAGAAGCACCCGCACAAGAGGAGGGCTGGGAGTGATTATCAGTACGAACCCAGTGAAGGTAAAGACAGGCTGACCACGTAATTAAGTTTATTTAAGTCAGCCAGGCTTCTCACATAGATGCTCATCAACTTTAAAACCAGGGCTCTGATGCTAATAGGGCTGGACTCCGTTTCTCTCACAAACACTGAATAATATCTCACTCCTTGAACTATCATACTACATGTGGTACTCTGTGAAAGCCAAGGAATCTAAATCCAACTGCACATCTTTAGTCTCTAAAGGAAGGAGTAGAAAAATCAACAGCTACCAACACCAAAAATAACAAAGGCCACAAAACATCTTTAGGGTGGAAAAAAAAAAAAAGTGGTGTTTGCTGCTTTGAATATAGTTAAATATTTTTCAAAGTTAACTTTGAGAGACCATCTGTTTTGTTCTGTGACACATTTATGCATTCTGTGTCTTTTTTCCCTAAATTATACTGCATCCAATTCTGAACTGGGCAGCATTATTCCCCTTGGACCCATACAGTGTCCTATTCTATCTGAATGGCATCAGATGATAGCTAGCAGGTGCCACTCTGCAGCTCAGACTATACTATATTATAACCTAAAAAACCTCTTTTGGATAGTGGATATATTGGATAGTGCAGATGGCTAATTTCTAGAATTTTAAATATTGTTATGTTGCAATAACTCCTAGAGTGAGGCCATCTTCAAGAACTGTTAAAACATAACTGCACAAGGACTTTATAATAAATGACAGCAATAGTTTGGCTTGTATTTGGGGCAAAAAGAGATTGTCATTTTAATTTACAGACTGCTTCCTATGATTGATTTTTATTTTATTTGGGATTAATATGACAGGACAGATTTTCTATCTTAATTACAGGGGCAGTACAATGAAATATGAGCCAGTCCTTCTAAACAGTAAACCCGTAGGTGTTCTGAAATGAATCTGCATTGTTGATGTAGAAGCCAAGAAGTGGTTCAGTGTCTCATGTTTCACGTGACCAGGGAGGCAAACCCTGCATTGCTCTGAAAAATCAGAGTGAATTCACTGGATCATAGAACGTTGCTAACTTCACCCATTTAACTACTGCTAATGTTAACATCATCTTTTCAGACAGTGGCAGAAGATGTCTAGTGACAGGAAATTGGACACATGCATTTTAACATTAAGTAGCACAAATTGTTTCCTTCAATGTTCTGCAGAATTGCATGCAGCATGTCTTCAAAAATGCTCTCACACACAAAGCACGCATGATGCTCTGTTTGCACCTAGTGAAACAATTTTTTCCTATGCAACTGAAGAATTTATATTTCGAATTAACATAAATGTATGTTATTTCAATGTGGTTTGAAAAGGGTTAGCTAATAGGCCTCATACCTATTGACTTTGCATATGAGAGAATTTGGCCAAGGTTTCCCACGATTTTACTTCAGTGCACTGATTTAATTGATTCTCCTGAATGCCTCTGAAAGTCCCTGCATAGACACAGTACAAATGGCCAAGCCAGGGGCAAACCAGTTGCAAGACTAAGAAAAAAGAAGGAAAAAAAAAAGACAGAAGTCCAACACAATCCTTGTAGTTCATAATCAGCTTTTCATGAATTTCAAAACACATAAGAAATATACTTTCTGAGCACATA